AAATTCAAATATAGACGTCATCTTTAGGAATGCCAAGTATTCCTTGTTTATCGTTCATCCCAAGTGTTTTAAGGCTTGAAAGCACTTTCTTCAAACTCCGTTTGCATGAGTTTATTTAAAGAGGAAACTATTTTAAATTTATTATTATTTTGATTCATTCTTAAAAAAAGGTTACATTTTTCAATTGTTTTCTCTGAGAAAATCACAGTCTATCTTGAGAGTGCTGATGTTGACAATACTTTCAAATCTATGAACGCTAATGAAGGAACAAGTTTAGAATTCTATTTAAATATTTAATAATTTTATATTCTGTACTTTGCTGGAACCATTAAAGACATCAAATCACAACTTGAACTTAGATTTGTTCCTTTAAATTTCTGGTTAAGAGCATTTATGAAAATAAGAGAAAAGAAATATTATAAAAGAAACCAATTCTAGTAAAGGCATTGCAAAAAAGAAACAAGAGAAAGCTATTATAAAATGGAAAAATTCCAGTAAAAATTTCTACATAAAAAAAAAAAAAAAATCAATAGAAAGATATTATGAAACAACTCTAGTAAAGATATTTATAAGAAAGAAACAAGAGAAAGGTATTAAAAATGAAACATTTCTTGCAAAGAAACTCATAATAAAGAATCAAGAGAAAGTTATTAAAAAAAAATAAAACAATTTATGTAAAGAATGTAAAAGAAAGAAACAAAAGAAAAACAAACAAACCAACACCAAAAATCATTGGCAAAAAAAAAACGCAAGAAAAAAATATTAGACTAAAAAATATATTTTTTTGTATTTTTTAGTTTTGCTAAAATGTTTCACTGTTTTAAAACTGTTGCAAGTCATCTTGTTTTCCTAGATAAAATTGTATTTTTCTTTGTCAAATTGAGACAATTTACTTCTCAGTATCTAGTTGGAGAAGAGAATCATCTGTAAATAAAATTATAATGCTAACAATGAAACTTTAACATCAATATTTTGAAATATATTAATAAATAGCTTAAAAACCACCCTATCAGGTAGATTTAAGCTAGCTCCTGTGGAGGGCTTTCACAATAGATAGGGAGGAGTAGATGCAATAGGCAACAATAAACTACAAAAGAACTCAAAACAGATCACTGTATTTAAGAATTTCATTAATATTTAAGCTTACCTTTTAAAAGTTCAACAATAATTTTTCTGCCACCACTTAATTTAAAGACACTTTGATGTACATAGGTCCTTACTTTCTGTGTAAACAATTATTTTTATTTCATGGGTGATGTTTGCTTGATATCGCAATTAATTTTGGTTATTCATAAATTTATATCCAAGTTATAAAAGTTGTTATCATACAAAAAGTTTGTCATAAAAAATCATGTAAAAAAATATTGCCAAGAACAATTGCAGTAATGAAAATGTGGGAATCCAAAATTTCTGGATTGCAGGTCGGATCCAACCTGGAATGTTTTTAATTTGCTTAAAACTTTGTATGATATGTTAGGCTCAGCTTCTAGGAGTAAAGTTTAAAACACAGACAATTTTATTTTGAAACACTGTAATTTGAGAACAGTAATTTTTTCATTGGAACATGAGCTATTGAAGGTTAGAGAGTTGTGTCCCTTTAATTGTTTTTATCAGTAGAAACCAAGATGGTGGAATCTGAAAAAAATTGCAGTAATGAAAACTTGGGAATCCAACATTTCAGGATTGCAGATCCAGATCAGAATGTTTTTAATTTGCTCATAGAGTCAGCCTGATTCCAAAATGGTATGATATGTTGGGCTATCAGAGTAAAGTTGAAAAAGTGTAACACAGTGACACTGACATTTGCATTTATTATGTAGATTGAAGAAATTTTTAATGGTTATAAAAATAAATCTAAAAGCAAAAAGCAGCCTCAACCATTCAGTCATCACCATAAAAAAATAAGTCTAACTTTTTTGAAAGTGACAAAGTAAGCATCAATGCTCACAAGAGTCATCAAATCAAGTTGGAAGATATTAAAATTTTGAAATATCATAATTTGGAGTACTTAATTGACAGTGATATATGAAGAACGTCCTCTAGATAAATTTACAGGACTTTCTTATTATGTTACTATCAATTAAGTACAATTAAGTAAAAGCAAAATTTTACTTTTTTTTTTTAATTTTAAGAAATAATCTGGTATGAGCATATTGTGTTTTGGTGTGATAATAATTTCTTCCCTTGCACTTTCCACTTGTGGAACTATCTTTCAGCTTCTTTCTTTCTTGTCAACTACACTCATTACAAATTTAAATGCAATGCCAATCACCATCTTCTGTCTGTTTGAATCTCATTCTTTTGTTGTCCTCTCTGTTTCTTTCACTCTCAGTAACCCCTTGCATCTTAATGGCTTTCATTGCCTTGCCTGGGATGAATAATTGAAAAAAAAAAATAAAAATAATGATCCTATTTTAAGTAAAACACAGAAGGTAAATAAAATAGTTGACATAAACTTGCCAAAAGACACTTGGATTGATTTGTAGGGCAAAGAAAAAATATCTGATGCTTAACTTGAAAATTTCATTAGCAAAACTATATGGGTGATTGTCATAACACCAATTTTTATGGTATTAAGATTTCAAGTAAAGACTTAGAAATATTGGTGGAGTAGAAATACTCATTTATTTTTTCAAATTATTATAGATCAAGCACTCCAGACCATGAATATCAAAATTTTCATTTTATAAAAGTTAATGTGTGCAGGTCCAGTTTGCTATGTAAATTAATTGTAAATTGGTTACCCTATTGAAACCAAAACAAAATATGCTCATACCACATGATTTCTTTTTTAAATTTAAAAAAAATATTGTAATCTGGTGTTTAACTAATAGTAATATAAGAAAAAAGAACTCCAAATTATGAATTAAAAAATATATATTTATTTTAATTTTGTTTAATTTTTGCAATATGAAAAATAAATAAATGAAATTATTATTTCTGGTCACAATGCCTATTGTACCAAATAGTAAAAATCTTAAGAATAGTATGAATAGTACTGAATCTCTCAGGAAGTTTGTTATTTGACTGTTGAAAATTTTTACAACAGGGTAATGGTAATATTAACTGTTTCATTATAAGGAAACATTTGGTATTCATTAAAAGAGCAGTAAGTACTGTTGTTGGTTTAAATTTGATATCAATTTTAGTTATAGCTGTTGTTGAAAGTCCCTGAGTGATGTGGTTTCTGCTACTTTGTACAGTTCGTTGTGGTTCTATAGTACCAGTCCATAAGGTCTGAAGAGGATGGTCCTCACTATGACCAACAGTTTTCATTTGCTTGACATTATTTTTAGTCATTGATCTGAGAAAGCTGTTGTGTTTGGTACTATGCATAAAATTTATATGAAAATCCCAATCTGTTGAGATTATATAAGGACATGACTTGAATTTTTAGGGTAATGTTTTGGTTTTGTAGTAACTTGAAGTATTGAGTAAAACTACGTCTGATGAAGTTGGTTAAAATTTGAGAATGCCTCTGCAAAGATCAGATTTAACAGATCAGATTATTCATGTTATTTAAGTAGATAAAAATAGTGGGATGTTACAAAGCAACATTAAAATGTTTAAAAAACAACAATAAGGTTTACTTGCACCCAACATAGAAAAGCAGAAATTTAATCTTAGTAAAATGTATATTGCCTATTTCCATAGTTGGAATTCATTCAATACGTGTTACCCATCCTTTCTTCAAGGTACAACAGCCTCAATGGCAAGTAATCTCTCCTTTATCCAAGGGCACATAATCTCTCCTTTTCTCCAAGATAGAAATAACCAAAATATTAACATATATAGCTGTAGAAAATGGATATATTAGTTTTGAGAGAAGAATGAAAAAAACAAAAAATGAATAACTTTTCATCCAAGCAACAATTTCACTTTGACAAAAAAAAAAATCCCAACTTGTTATTCATAGAATGATTTGATTTGTCTTTATTTGTCTTTTACTTTTGTAAATGTGATATTTGTAAACATGCTGTGAGGAAACAAAAAGCAAATTGAAAATAAAGTTGATTATTTTATTTAATGCCATGTTTTTTTAGAACACATTTAATTTTTTTAATTATTATCTGCAAATTGCTCTACCTCCTTCATCTATGTACTACATCCATTCAAGACTTAGGCGATATGTCTCTCCACAACTTCCTGCCTTTAGTAGCTCTTAGTAAGGTTTACTGTTTTGCTATGCCTGTTCTGCACCCATCTAATAGGTTTGTGAAATAGGCTATTAGCTGCTTTTCTCTGACCCTCTTGCTATCAATATATCCTACAAGTGTCAAATTCTCCAAGCACTCTTTCTCCATTATGTACCCTAGACATTTCAGTTGTCACTTCCTTATTGCAAGTATAAATGTCTTTTCTGTTTTCATTTTCCTCAAAATTTAATTCTTGCTCACATGTTCAGTCCATGGTATTCACAGCATCCTTCAGTAGACACATATTTCTATTGCTTCAAGTTTGTTTTTTAACTCTGAGGATTTTCTTTGAGTGATTCTCACATTGCCTTTGCCACAGTTTGGAATTCAGAGTTATCCTTCTCTTAAACTGTTTCCACTGATGGCTAGAGAGTCCAGTCTACCTTATTATTTAACCCATAGATAATAGGAAAAAAAAGACGGCTTCATAACTTTCCCAAGGGCATTTGTGCGAAAGTTGCTTCAGCAGGCTGTAATTTGTAACCTTCTCAATGGTTCTACTTTCCATTGTGATAATAGTTTAACCTCCCACACAAAAAGCTTTTTATCTGTATTTAATTTTTTTTAAAGCCTCCAAATTTTGTTAATATCTGTTAATATAACTAATGAGGGGCAGAGTTATGTATGTGAAAGAATGTTTGGTGGTAACTTTACAAATGATGATATATTCTAATCTCTTTTGTTTTTACCAGGAGAAGGTTGATGTGAAAAAGCAAGTGCGTATTATAATTCCTCTTCCTCTAATTCTGAAAAAGTAATAAAAAAAACTCCTGAATCCCAAAATAATAACAGAAAAATACTCACTGTTTTAGTGCCCAAATTTTCTATTAAGCAGTGAAGAATTGCTGTTTCTCCCCGATGAAAAGTTACATTTGTTGGTGAAGGGTGAAAACGAGGTACTGGTGCCGAGTCATCATACTGGGCAAATGCTACAAGTAAAAAGAAAAGGAAATTATAAATATGATTATCATCATCAATATAATTATTGTAATTTTCTTTTTAATAATTTCATCCAAATCAAGGCAATTAAGCCAAGACACAGAGGCTTACTGAGTGTGAAAGAATATAATAAAAAGAAAAACATTATTAAGGAGCAAGAGCAATAAAAGAATATTTTCTGTTTGAATTTCTGGGATGAGGATTTTTCATTATTTACACTATTAGTGGATTAAAGTGCTGGTTTATGAAATTAGTGATATGGTGATTTTGAGTTCAATCCCTGAGTTGGACAGTGTGTACTTGGCCTTAGAGGAAGGTCAGAGGGCACAACAGCTAAAACTTAGTGATAACAACAATGAAAATGAAGACAATATTCCAAATATAAATAGAGTAAATAATAAAAGAACAGAAATTAAGAATACAGAAGATAACAACTGATATTGCATTTAAATTTTAGGAGATCAACCTTCACTGCAGGAAGCCAGAAGAGAGTGCCACAAGTGAGAACTGCAAGAAAGTATCAGCATTTAACTTATGGTTACATCTAGCCATTTCAATTGCAAAATGATGAAACCTTGCTGACAATCTATTAATGTGATTAAATTTATAAAATCTAGGTACCTTAGAGGGAATTTCATCAAAACAATTACCATGAAAGTATTTATCGGAAAGGCATAGAGAAGATATATTATGGCAGTGGGAAAGTTACTGTAGTAATCAAAAAATGCTTGACATTAGAGTAATAATTAAATTATTATTAATACAACACAGTAATTATGACAGAAAATATGTTATTTATTTATTTTATAATTGTTGGGATTGCTGTCATGCCACCCACTAGATGTCATTCTATTTAGGACCACAAAAAGAAGGACATAAACCTCCTTTTTCTCTCTCTGCCCCAAGATGTAGTAGTGACAATATGGGATTTGTCTCGATTAGGGGAGATTTCTTTTCAACTGACTATTAAATTTCAAACAAACCACACAGATATCACATACACACATGCATTATAGCTTAGTATATAAATATTTCATTTCCTTTCTTTTACACATGTAAATAGAATATTTTTCTTTTTCTTCTTTTGTGAGTTACTTTGTTCTTTATATAAATATGTATAAAATCCTCCACATGTTGAATTAATTAGTTTTGAAAGTTTGCATCCTCATCATTAACAAGTCAGAACTCCTACTAAAAAATGGAGAGCTACAGTAAACACATCCATTACAATCCTGCAGCATCTCTTTCCAATATAATAAAATGTTTTAAAATAATCCAATTACAAAATATTAACAAGTAATATCAATAACATCATCTTCATCATAAAATGTAGGTCCATAGCAGAAATTAGTTGCAATAAGCCACATGATTTATGATAATTTTAATCATTACAAAGACTGACATGATCCTACTTGCTAAAATTAAGTAGATAGTGAAATACAGAGTCTGATAAAAATTATCTGTTGCTATGGTAATGTAGCTAAAGTATGCAGTAAAACCACTTGTCACAGATTGACCTTGAACACTGTCAAACACACTATGTTATAATGTTCTTGCTCATTTCCAAAAGTGTGAAGAGTGTGGCTGTCTCAGCACACCCCAGAGGTTTCATCAGTGACCATGGCTTGTGCAGAGGTTTTTGGCCAAGAACAACATTCTCCACATTTCAAGCTTTGTGACTTTTAACTCTTCATAAATCAAATTCCACTTGAAAGGAGCAAGATTTCAAGATGTTGAGGCAATCAAAAAGAATGTGACAAGGCAGCTGCTTTCTATCCCAAAAAAGGAGTTCCAGGAGTGCTTCCATCATTTGAAACAATCCTGGATAAACTGAGTTGCTTCAGAAGGGGACGATTTTCAAAGGAGATTAAATACTGATTGTATGTGTTGTAGTCTTATTTTTATAGCACAAGTCCTGATATTTTTTGAACAGCCCTTGTATATACATTTCTTATGTTTATTCATTAATATTTTCTCTAAAGTAACAAAAGTTATGTTTGTTATAATTACTGAGACCATTTGCAAGACTGATTGTGTTATCATTTTTGCCTATTACAGAAACTAGCTAATTATTAAAAATCCCTATTATTAACACTTGACAGTTCCCCAAATTACTATCACTGGATCACCACAACCACCACAAGTATTCCTATTACATATGTTGACATCATCAGCTTTAGAACGATAAAGTCTACCCATATCCCTTATCTGTGTTCTGGAAAGCCATTATTATCACTAAGAATGCTCTTAATATTTTTCAAGGTTTGTTCTCCTTTGGAATTTCAAAATCTTTATTGATCACCTTGATAACTTAAAATGATAAATTTAAAAATGTAAAAACTGGCAAATTTAATATTATTCTCTTTTTTCTTTGATATTCTTTGTCCCTTCAGGCCATTGTCATTCACGGCCCTCTATGGTTTCCTATCCTTTGTTAGTTAAAAGCAAAGGTTTTTTTTGTTATACTTCCCAAGTACATTACTCACTGTTTCCTCTGTCCCTCTTGCCTTCAGTATGTCCTGTAAGTGTCAAATTCTCCAAGCCCCCTTTCCTTATTATACATTTCATAATTTCAACAGTTACTTTCTGATTCTAAGTACAAGTCTTTTTGTTTTCCTTTCATTTAAAGCTTCCTTGTTGCTCTCATCTTCCATCCATAGTTTTCACAGTATCTTTCTGCAGAACCACATCTCTTTTAGCTAAATTCTCCTCTTCATCTGTGTAAAAATTGTCCAACATTCACTGCCAGAGAACTGATATTATGTAGCATTTTGGTACTCTTTTCTTCATTAAAATTTATTTGATATTAAAATTGTCTGATTAAAGACATTATGAAGAAGACCAGTTAATGTACTGGCAGCTGTTACTTTTTTCTCAATTAACTTTACAAATATATTGCATTTTAGTGCTGATATCACACTGGATGTTATATTGGACATCCAACTTAAGTCTGTCTTTATATAAAGCAATAACAAAAATAGATATTTAATCAGAAATAGAAGAACTAATTCTTTTTGATAGATTTGGAAATGTTTACATCTGTGATGCCTGAATGTTTTCTCATGATTTCATTTCAGAGTCAATTTTTGAAGACTAATTCTATTATAAGTGGTCATGTCACTGAATAGAAGAATGTTGGCATTCTGACCATGAAATCCTGGTTCAAAACATTATGGTCAATTTGTCAGGAAGGTGATTTCATGATAATACTGGCCTGCGAATATGACCCTAGCATGTGCCACCATTGAGAAGTGCCTGAAAACCATACCATGGATCAACCGAATCAAACCATGCATAAAATTGGGTAGCACAAAGTTACAAGTCATCATGACTGAGGGTCAGAGTGTACTAGCCTTGTTCAAATTGTTGATTGTGCCAGATTAAGTACCCTCTCCAAGAAATTGTTACTAAGTTCTCAGTATAGTTGCAGTATAAACCACAGGTTGGCCATGTGGGTGTTGAACAAATAAAAATATACCTGAGCAGGCATCTGCAATAGGGATAAACCAATCACTCTATCAGTCATAATAGGATATGAGTGGCCAGCCATATATACACACACACACATATATATATATATATATATATACATTTGTATTATACCAAATATTTTGTTCAGAAGCAATAAACCAATACATTGTTTGCCATAAGTTCACCATTTGCTTTGTATCCCACTTGAAAAGTGAATGCATTCCATGTTAAGAATCATTGCCATTTTATACCCTTGCCATCAAATTAATGAGAAAATGGTGCAAATAGGTTTATTTTCAGTTTTATTATGTTTGTTTTAATCTGTTATTACTCTCAAGTTGGACATTGGTTAACACATTTGAACAGAAGTTATAAGCTCTGTAGCAGAATCAGTGGCATTCAATAAATTTACCGATAATAAGTGATTTTGGGAGGAAGATCTGATTTCTGACATAGTCAATTATAGATTCATCTGTTCTGTCACTATTGATCAAATATTCAAATTGCTTAATATTAAGGAATAAAAGTTGGATTCCTGGTCCACGTCATAGGTTCAGATCCCATGAGTATTAAATTTAATCTGAATTTATTTGAATAACTTTGTAGGATTTTACATGAGAATAAAATTCTAATTGCATTAACATAATTTTATTATACCATCAACATTTTCTAGCTTCTGTATTGTTTCAAGGCCTTGTGAGTTTAATGATTTTGCCAGAGTGATATCAATACTAATTCAATAAAACATCTCTTATTCACCATTTCATCATTACTTATCACAGTAAGAAACTTTTCTTTTCATTGGTTCAGCTATCTCTTGGAATTATATGGTTTTGTCCTATAGAATTATGTTACCTATTTCTATGAAAACATCCTGAGGATAAAGTCTAAGACAAAGGAACATCATATAAACTTTTTTTGCTGGTTGTAGGAACTTTAATTGCTTTTTGTAATTTTATCTAAATAAAAAAGGATACAAGTCCATAGGTATAAGTGGAGCTATTTTAGCAAGGAACATTTACAATCATATATTATGCAATGAAAAAAAAAAATATATATATATATATATATATATATATATATCCAAGTATAAAATTGGTATGGCTATTTTTGTAGTGATTTTATAACATATTTATGTGATAAATTTTTTGTTTTTAAATAATTATATATATATATATATATATATATATATATATATATATATATTATAAGGTAATATTTAAGGCAAATTTACTGAACAAACACTTTTTATTGATTAATTTTATTGATCAACTTTTCCAAATTACAAATAAGACGTCTCGGATAAAGAGTAAATTCTAACAGAAATTGTTCCAACTTCATTTCAGAAAAATATGGTGTAAGGTTTCAGTTTTCTTAGCTCATCAGCAGGGTAATTAAAAACAAATGGTGAGTTTTATAGAACTGATAACTGTAGTAATGTGGCCAAAAAGTGTTATGACATAGGCAAAGTGTGACGAGTGGGTGTCTTTATATTTTATTTTTATTCATTATTCTTATA